ATCCACCCCCTTCCCAGCCCACCCCTCGGGCTATGGGGGGGTCTAAGGCCCCATCCCATCCCCAGGACCCCCAGCCCCACCCCCTCCTCCTGGGGTGTCCCCAGCCGAGCCCCCAGCTGGAGCAGAACAGGGTGGGGCTCCCACCCCCTGCCCCATCCTGGGGCACCAGCAGCACCTTTTTCTTGTTTTTAACCCAAACCAGGTTCTCCTCCACCCCCCACCCCACTTGCGTGTGGGGGAGCAGGGCTGGGGTCTCCCCTCTTTACCCCCCAACCCCACTGGCCAGGTACAACCACCCTGATTTTTCCCCAAATCTCCTTTTTTAATGACTTCTTGATTTCAACCAGTGATTAACTCAAGAGTTTCAATCCTGGGTGGAAAAGACCTTGAAGATCATCAAGTCCAACCACACTCTCCACCTTCTCCTTCAGTGCTTACATCATTTTGGTTCCTCCCACCAGGTCCTGGTGCCTTTCCACTCCCACTTTTGGGTGGAAAAACAGCAAAAAATGATGGTGGGGATTATTTTTTGTTGGGGTTGGTTTTTTTCCAAGCAGTTGCAAATTAATGAGGGGGAAAATAAAATCAAATCATCTTAACTTGGGTTATTCAACAGATAAAATTTTTTTAATGACCCTTCAGGGGGAAATCCTCAGATATTTGATTTATTTGAATAAAATGATGGGTTGGTTGGTTTTTAAATTGGTGATGGCACCACGGGGGGTCCCCAAAGCCCCTTTTGTCCCCCCCACCCCATCCCAAGGGATGAGCTCAGGGCACTCAAGTGTTTTGTATTTTTTAATAAAGTTTGTAATCCAATGGACACACAAAACAAAACTGCGCTGAGAAAAAAAAAAAACAACAAAAAAAACAACAACAAAACAAACCAACAAAAAACAAAACAGTTCCATAAATTAATAAGTGTTAGGGAAGGCAAAGTTGGGGGGTCGGGGGAGCAGGGAAAAAGGAGGGGGTCCAAAGTCTTTTTGTACAAGTGTATAACACTTCCACAGCTGATGAGACGGGGGGCGGGATGTTTAAATGAAGAGCACTTACAAATGAGGGACAATACAAAGTCTGAGTATGAAAATAAGATTTTTTTTCTCTGAAAACACATTTTTTTCCTTTTTTTTTTCCTTTTTTTTCTTTTTTTTTTTT